AGATGTTCCTCTGAGAATACATATTTCCACCTAGCTCTCTTAAGGTGTTTTTTTTTTGTTTGTTTTTTTTTGTTTTTTTTTTCTTTTCTGTTTCTTCACTTCCCCCTTACTCTACACTTTTGTGGACCAGGAGATGGAACAGGTGGATTCCTGTCTCTTCATTCTTCTTTCCATACCATTTCTTTCATTTCCTTCTGGAAAAAAGGTCAAAATTAAAATGCCCCCAAAGAAATTACCTACCCTTCTGTAGCTCAGGTCATTCAGCTATACCAGCCTTTCCTTTTCTTCATTCTTTTGATCTACCTACATCCTAAACAGTAACCATCCTTGAGGTAAGGTATTGGCAACCAGATTACAACCAGTTTTTACATCGTATGATCTGCCATTATTCTTGGAGATTTTAATGTCCACATGGATGCCATATGGATACATGGATTTCAGTTATTTCACTCTGATCACTACCTGGTATCTGTTCAGCACTTTTTCCCACATATTCTCTCACAATTTTTTTTATACCCTAATAAGCCTTCTAATACATTAAATCCACCACTTTCTCACTATACTTCAACTGGCTCCCAGTGTCTCTTCTCTGCTTATCCAGTCTTGATTCCACTGGAAATTATCATGATCACATTATTTCAAGTACTCCCAACTTTACTTCCCCTTAATCTCATATTTGAGGGGGAAACACCCTCTCTGGATAGATTCTACCTTCTGTCATCTCTGTGCCTGCACCCAAATGAGTATGTTGCTTGCTGATGGTTAATCATACAACAGAATTAATTTGGATTATTTTCAAATTATTATCTCAAAAAAAACCCCATCAAATTGGCTTTCAATAATGTCTGACAATCTTTATTTTTAAAAAATTTTTTATTATGATGAATATTCATGAGTTACAAATTACCAGAAATTGCTTTTATACCCTGTGTCCCCACCCAATTGTCCCCCAACCACCCTCCCCCTCCCCCTCTCTCCCCACTCCCCTTTGCAGCCCTAGGAATGTTCCTTCCCTCTGTAAAACCACCACCCTACTGTGTTATTTCTTTCTTACCTTCATTTCTCTCTTAGCTCCCACAATGAGTGAGCACATGCAGTATTTATCCCTCTGTGTTTTTCTTTTTTTTTTTTTTCCTTTTTGTCTTTTTTCATGACCGGCAACGGATCGCAACCCTCAGTGTTGCGCCCGTACTGGACCGGGACCGGCAACGGGATCGCAGCCCTCGGTGTCGCGCCCGCACCTCACTCAGCCAGTGAGCGGCCGGTCTGTATGTGGGATCCGAACCCTCGGTGGGAGCGCCGCCACGCTCCCAAGCGGTGCAATGTAGCAGTGTGCCACTGGGCTGGCCCTCCCTCTGTGTTTTTCTAATTTCACTAAACATAAGTTTCTCAAGGTTCATCCATGTTGTTGCGGAGTAGTATTCCATGGTTTGTGTGTATGTGTGTATATATATAAGTATATAAACATACTATATATATATATATATATATATAGTATATAAACATACTATATATATATATATATACACACACACACACATATATATATATGGTACATATATACCATACTTTCCTTATCCAATCATCCATCGATGGACATTTAGGTTGGTTCCATGTCTTGGCTATTGTAAATAGAGCTGCGATGAACATGGGAGTGGAAGTATCCCTTCGACATGATGATTTCCATTCCTCTGGGTACATACCCAGAACAGGGATGGCTAAATCTTGTGGAAGATCTATCTGTAGTTGTTTGAGAAAACTCCATGTTGTTTTCCATACTGGTTGTACTAATTAACAGTCCCACCAACAGTGTAAAAGTGCTCCCTTCTCTCCATACACTCACCAGCATTTGCTATTCACCGTCTTTTTGATTATAGCCAGTCTAACTGGGATAAGGTGGTATCTCAATGTAGTTTTAATTTGCATTTCCCTGATGACTAGTGATGTTGAGCATTTTTTCATGTATCTGTTGGCTATTTGTATGTCTTCCTTTGAAAAATGTCTATTTTTCCTTTGCCCATTTTTTAATTGGGTCATTTGCTTTTTACTGTAAAATGGCTTAAGTTCTATGTATATAATGGATATTAATCCCTTGTCAGATGCATAGTTAGCAAAAATTTTCTCCCACTCTGTAGGTTGTCATTTCACTCTGTTGATTGTTTCTTTTGCTGTGCAGAAATGTTTTAGTTTGATATAGTCCCATTTGTTTATTTTTTCTTTTGCTGCTTGTGCTTTCAGGCTCATGTTCATAAAGCCTGTGCACAGATCTAATTGCTGAGGTGTGTCACCTAAATTTTCCCTTAGTAATTTTACAGTTTCAGGTCTTATACTCAAATCTTTAACCAATGTTGAGTTGATTTTAGTGTACAATGAGAAAAGCATATCTAGATCCAATATTCTGCATATGGATATCCAGTTTTCCCAGCACCATTTGTTGAAGAGGCAGTCTTTTCCCCAATGTACATTATTGTTGCCTTTGTCCAATATCAGATGGCTATAAGTCTGAGGGGTGATTTCTGGGTTCTCAATTCTACTCCATTGGTTTGAATGTCTACTTTTGTACCAGTAGCATGCTGTTTTGGTTGCAGTAGCTTTGTAGTATAATTAGACGTCAGGTAGTGTTATACCTCTGGCTTTTTTTTTTTTTTTCTCAGGATTGCTTTGGCTATTTGGGGTCTTTTGTTTTCCCATATGAAAGGTAAGATTTTTTTTTCCATTTCTGTAGAGAATGTCAATGGTATTTTGATGAGGATTGTATTGAATCTGTCGATTGCCTTGGGTAGTATAGACATTTTCACAATGTTAATTCTTCCAATCTAAGAGCATGGAATATCTTTTTGTGCCTTCTTTAATTTCTTTCAGAAGTGGCTTGTAGTTCTCATTGTAACGATCTTTCACCTCCTTGGTTAAATTGATTGCTATGTATTTAATTTTTCTGTGACTGCTGTAAATGGACTTACTTTCTTGATTTTTCTTTCTGTTAGCTGATTATTGTAGAATATAAATGGAAGAGATTTGCTTTGTGTCCTGCAACATTACTGAAATTATTAAACAGCTTTAAGGGTTTTTTGACAGAGTCTTTAGATATATTATCATATCATCTGCAAATAGAGAAAATTCGACTTTCTATTTTCCAATCTGGATTCCCTTTATTTCATTCTCTTGCCAGATTGCTCTGGCTAGTACATCTAGTACTATGTTAAACAGAAGTGGTGAGAGTGGGCGTCCTTGTCTTGTTCCTGTTCTTAAGAGAAAGGCCTTCAATTTTTCCCCATTCAGAATGATACTGGCAGTGGGCCTGTCATAAATGGCTTTATTGTGTTAAGATATTTTCCTTCTATACCTAATTAGTTGAGAGTCTTTATCATGATGGGATGTTGAATTTTGTCAAATGCTTTTTCAGCATCTATAGCAGTAATCATATAGTCTCTGTCCTTGAGTTTTTGATATGATATATCACATTTATTGACTGTCGTATTTTGAACCATCCTTGCATCCCTGGGATGAATCCCACTTCATCATTGTGCATAATTTTATGTACGTGTTTCTGTGTTCTATTAGCTAGTATTTTATTGAGGATTTTAACATCTATATTCATCAAAGATATTAGCCTGGTAGGTGAGGGTGAACATCCTTTCTAGTGAGTCTTTCTTCAAGGGACAGTCCAGGGGTTGGCAGAGGGAAGGAGAGGATGCCACCAAGATTCTACCAATGACTGGGTAATGCTATACTGCTGCAATTGTGACATCTTAGTAGATTTCTAGAGTGTTCCTTGGGTTCTGAGACCGTTGATGACTGACATTGCCCCTTTAGTGGTCTCACTGAGGCATTGTGCAGTCACGTCAGCAGCTGAAGATTGCTTACATTTCAACAAAATGCTCTGCACATTCTGTCTGGCCTGCCCCAGCTGCACCTACAGTTTAAGTCAGAACTTATCTTGGGTGGCATTCCAGCTCATGGTTTGCAGCAATTAACAGGGAAATCTGCCAGTTACTGTTGTTGTTGATGGAAGGATATCCTACAGGTACCCAAAGGCCAAAGATGGATCCCTCCTTAAGCTCATTAGATTTGAGATTTGCTATTAAAGAAAAGCCTTTTTAAGTAACTACAGTAGCTTTGACTCAACTGCCAGGTGCCTGGCTACTTCCTGTACACCCCATGGAATCCTCCTCACCCTGGGAAGCAGGTATTATTGTTCTTATTCCTGTGAGGAAACAGAAGCCAAGAGAGGTAAAGTAACGTGCCCAGAGTCACACAGCTAGGAAGTGGCTGGGCTGAGAGCCAGCATCAGCAGTCCACCTGCAGCCCCCTCCATCTTGCCCAATGTACCAGAGTGCCTCAGGCCCTGGGGTCACGTCTCAAGTGTGGAGGTGTTATAGTCTCATGAAAATCTCTACAAGGCCATTGAACTCTGTGCCTAGAATTGAGTGTGGGGAGTCCAAGGACAGGTGGCCGCATGTCTGGGGAAAATGCGATACTAAGGCTGCTTTGGGTGGGCACCTCTCTCCTGACCTCCCAGCACCATACTCCAAAGGAACAACTGCAGAGATCAAATTCTAGGCAAAAACCAACATGTGTCTCTATGAAGATGTCAGGACTGAAAAGCCTCAGTCTTGTGCTGTGCTATGTGGGCTGTGGATTCAGACTGTGAGCTCAGGCCTTCCTTAGAGAGCACTTTACTGGACTTCTGCCTGGCCCCAGAAGCCCCAGGACAAGAAGTCAGCTCACAGTCTCTGCTACTAAGGTTCGGCCGGTTACCCTGACCCCAGTGTGTGCTCATGTTGGCTCTCCCATGACCTCAGTGCATTCTGTGTGGAACAGCATGTTGACAAGCTGACAGGTCACTTGCCTGGCTGGGCTCATTGTGAGATCATTGGCTGGATGTGTTCCCAAGCAACCTGAGCCCCTTTGTGATGTCCTACTGCTGGATTATCAAGGGGCGCTGTGGGCCATACCGCAGTCTCATGTTTACATGAACAGAGGACAAGCCATCACTTACTATGGCTAGTGATCCCAGAGGCCGGGGGCATGGCTTCAGAACGGCACCTTTTCCTCCAGAAACAAGGGCTCCTTGGACAGACACAGAGAACCATCATCACCCAGCAGATCCTTCCTGTGCCCAGTACTACTGCCCGGTGTCAGGTGGGAACCACAGCTTCAGGCTGCTGCTGGAAGAAACTGTTTTCCAGGCTTTGAACGAAGAGCCTCAGCTCAGAGGGCCGGGACCTGTCCACAACATCCTGCCAGAGGCAGAAGATAGTCTCCCCTGTCTCCCCTTTCCAAAAAAGCTGTGGAGAATCGTCAACAGCAACCAGTTTGCATCAATTTGGTGGGAGGAAGGTGGGACTTGTATAGTGATTAATGAAAAACTGTTTCAAAAGGAGGTCCTGGAAAGGGAAAGCCCTAACAAAGTGTTTCAAACAAACTGTATGAATAGCTTCATCCGCCAGCTAAACCTCTATGGCTTTAGCAAAATGCGTCAGAACATTCGCATATCATTCTGCCTCACCAATGTTTTCATCCTGGAAGGACCAGTCTATGTCAAGAGCAAGGTAATGAATGACAAACCTTCTAAGAGGCTAAGTCAGTGGGATCTGGGGTTGGGTCGGGTGGATGTGTCAGGACTGCCTCGTGGGATTTGGGTGACCTCGGGCGGGTACCGAACTATTCCTTTACCTGTTCCTTTTCTGCATGGTGGTGACAGTAATTTAAGAGTTAATGGCATGGGGGTGGAGGGCGTTGCTGAGAATGGTGCCAGTCCATCTGGAGTGTGTAAAAGATTACAGGTGTTCAGTCACTCCTACCTGGGGACAAATGTCTCCTTGTGGTTGATGTGTCCCCTTGACTCCATAGAGCTTTAAACCGTAATGTAGGCTGGGGTGGGGAACCTTCCCTGTTGAAATATCAGTGTGCCCCCCGCTGGTGTTTGGAGAAATGCTAAGCCTAAAGCAGGCGAGGAAGCCTGTAGAAGGTGGCATGAATGTGCATGCTTGCCTAGTCACTGTCCGCCGGTGTGGAAGAGCCTGCGACCAGAGACTGCCAGTCAGGGGTTCACTCTGTGGCTGGCTGATGCTGCATGATGAAGCCACCAAATCTGCTTTACTCCCCGTCTGCAGCTTCAATGTTCCTTTTCAATGGCCTTGTACACATTCTAATTTGCCATGTTTAGGCATTTTCCAAGGATGCAGTGCTCGCCATACATGGCTGAGTCTTGAGGATGTAAAAAAGGGCGAGTCTTGAGGATGTAAAAACTAGTCCCCAGCTTCCTTTTGGGACTGTGACCTTTTCCTAAAGGGCCTCCCAGGACCACTAGAGCTGTGTTGCACAGGGTCGTAGATTGTTGATGGTTGCAGTCCATTCTTGTGACTCATAGTTTCCTTTTCTTTTTCAACTTTGAATCTCAGTTGCTGTTCTACTGCAATCCCTACTTCAAAAGAGACTCCCCTCACCTCCTTGTGAGGATGAAGAGAAGGTTGGGTGTTAAATCTGCATTAAGGCAGAAGGGAAGCCAGCCAGAAGCTCTGGAATCCCCTGTAGCACTTACAGCCACCGAGCGACAGGATCCAGCATCTCCAAATGAGGATAATGAAGAGATACCAAAGAGCCAAGAACTTGACAGTCCTGCCACCCAAGTCAGGAGTGACTCTGCTCTGCAAGGAACTCTTGTAACAGTGCCCGAGCCCACCAAGGCAAGTGACGATGCTCCAGTAACCCAGCCAGCCATCAGGCAGCCGGAAAGCAGCCAGAGCCACATTACTCAGTTGGGGGATATCACTGCGCCTGCCGAGCTCCCCTTCGTCCCCTTCACCATACCTTCAACCCATATGGATTTCTATAGGCCAGTGATGGGTGTTCCTGCCTTGCCCCCCAGGATTCTCAGCGTGCACACTGCACAGCTTCCTTTGCCTGGACTGCTGCCTTTCGGCCATCACTGGGTGGCTGTGCCCGCCGTGGCTCCTGGGCCTATTGCCTTCATGTCCATGTTGCCTCTACCCCCAACACCAGTCTACTGCTGTCCCCACTGCCATTGTGTGTTAGAACTCATGCCAGCCACTAGCAGGCCCCAGGGGTACCCAGAGCATGCAGACTACCACGGGTAAGGAGAGCATTTGATGACAACATTTGCTGGTCAATAAACACGATCAGAAAATGAGTCATTTTCTGTCTGCTCAGAACGGTTGCTCGTCTCTGTCATTTTTCTTCTTCCGCAGTCAAGGGCCCCCTCGGGTGTCTTTTGCTTGCCTGGTAAAGACTTGTGAATAACCCCACTCCCTCACATGATGCAGGTGCCCAGTAGATACTCGGGCAGGACGTAGGTTTAACTGAGCCTCTCGCACATCCTGCCTCCACTCACTGAAAGGTCTTTGCAGTGCTTGGAAAGTGCACACACCCAGCGGGGGTGGCCAGATGTACACAATGACAAGTGCTCCTGGCCATCCAGACACAATTCCCTGCCATGCTGCAAAATATCTTCTTGTTGCCAGTGGCCCCTCCTCCTCCATGGAGAGCTTCTTCCAGTACTTTCCAGTTACCAGTTTGTATTTTCAGCCTCTCCACTCCTTAACAGAGCAGCAAATCACACATCATTTCACTGTCGTTCTTGGGTAAGGCAGAAAGGAATAGCTGCTGGGATGGCTGATGCGTAAGTCTGTAAGAGCACAGACTCCTTTTCTGACCTTTTTCATGGATACTTCTCTGAAGTGGGTTACACGTCTTCTTGCTGTCATAAATAGGAGAAATGCTACACCACTTGCTCTCTCCTTGATGATCTGTGACCTGGTGTTTTCTGGGCAATAATGGCTCAGGGAACAACCCCCCACACACACACACAAACACACACAGTGGCCACTGAGACATGTCAGCACATTGGGTGGATGATCAGCCTAAGGCTCTAGGCCTTTCTGTCAGCTGCTGCCAAACCACCTTCGGTGGCTGGCTAGTTTTACACAAGATTCAGACAGAGCCTGAGGACTAGGCATGGCATGGTACACAGACTTGTATGACTGACAGTGATGCTTTGTTCTGAAAATGTGCTGTGCCTCAGCTGAGTGAGACCTCCGTAAACCTGCCTGCTAGATAAGGACAGAGACAGTAGAATCACTGCATTAGGGAGCCCTGAAGAGCATGGGAGGAGAGAGGGAGCACCAACAGCTGACACGAGGCTGCAGAGGGGAGGCAGAGCGAGAACGGGAAAGAGCCAGGCAGGAACTCCTGGGCTTTCGGAGGGACAGGGTGTTACCAGTGGGCTCATTCACAAGTACTGCCAAGGAGGGGGTGGGAGGAGGTGGGTGAGTTGAACAGAAGTACAGGGAAGGCTCTGTCCACCAGCTCAGCAGCCCTGCTGTGTTCCTGGTGATGGGTGGTCACTTCACTCTTCTGTTGGTCACAATCCAACAGCTAGTGGAGATCAAGTGGATCTTTTGAGAACCCAACAACATAGCCCCAGATTGAAGGAAACAAAAACTGACAGACTTGAAACAATAGTTCTACAATAGTAGTTGGAGACTCCAATACCTCATGTTAGGAGCTAAATTGTGTCCCCTTCCCCAGTTCGTATGGTAAAATTCTAAACCCCAATGTGACTGTATTTGCAGTTAGAGTTGTCAGGGAGGCAATGAAGGCAAGATGGGATCCTAAGGTTGGAACCCTATTCCCATAGAACTAGTGTTCTCATAAGAAGAGGAAGAGACACCAGATTTCGACTTTTCTCTCTCCACCACCCTCCCCACCCACACCCATTAGAGAAGAGGCCATGTGAAGACACAGTAAGAAGGTGGCCATTGGCAAACCATTAAGAGAGGCCTCACATGAAACCAAATTTTCTGGCACCTTCATATGGTGCTTCTGGCCTCCAGAGCTATGAAAATATAAATTCTTGTGGTTTACACCTCCCACTCTGCTGAACTTTGATATGGCAGCCCTGACAGACTAGTTCACCCTGCTCTCAGTAATGGATAGAAAAACTAGACTACAGATCAACATGGGAAAGGAAGGCTAGAACAAAACTATAAAATAACTAGATCTCACAGACATCCATAGAACACTCCACCCAACAGCAGCAGAACAAATTTCCTCTCAAGTGCACTGCATTAGTCTGTGATGCATATACATGAAAACCTAAAACTGAGTGATTTACAAAGAAATGATATTTATTTCTTCTAATTTCAGAGGCTGGGAAGACCAAACTCCAGGTAACACATCTGGTGAGGGCCTTTATCTTGGTGGTGACTCTCTACAGGATCGCATGGTAACCAGGGTGTCACATGGCGAGAATGGGCTGAGCAAGAGAGAGCTAATCTTCTCACTCTCCTTATAAAGCCATCATAACCACACTCATGACCACTCAGTTAACTAGCAGTGCATTAATCTATTCCCAAGGGTACAGTCCCCACCATTCTGTAGGCCCACCTTTCAGTTACCATAATAGGATTTCTTACCCTCTTAACACTGTTACAGGGGAGACTAAGATTCCAATAGATGAACTTTTGAGGACACATTTAAACCATATCATGCACCTAGAACTTCCTCCAGGATTTGCTTCTTTCTCCATATGTCACACCATGAAACTTTCTCCACGTTACACCATAAAACACCCCTCTGTAAACTTGAAAGGGTTCCACTTGTACAAAGTATGTTCTTTGACCAAAATGGAGTGAAATTAGAAATCAATAACAAATGGAAATTCAGGGAATTTGCAAAAATAATAGTAATTAAACAACACAACATCTGTTTTTATGCTAATGCCATGCTGTTTTGGTTACTACAGCTTTGCAGTATAATTTGAAGTCAGGTAGTGTTATACCTCCAGCTCTATGCATTTACTTTTATGTTCATAATTGCTTTGGCTATTTGGGATCTGTTTTTGTTCCATATGAATGTTAGGATTATTTTTTCTATAGATTGCATTGAATCTATAGATTGCTTTGAGTAGTACAGACATTTTCACAATGTTAATTCTTCCAATCCAGGAGTATAGAATGCCTTTCCATCTTTTCTGTCCTTTTTAATTTCTCTCAGCAGTGATTTATAGTTCTCGTTGTAGAGATCTCTCACCTCCTTGGTTAAATTGATTCCTAAGTGTTTTCATTTTTGGTGACTACTGTCAATGGGCTTCCTTCTTGATTTATTTTTCATCTAATTCATTATTGAAGTATAACAATGCTACTGAGTTTTGCATGTTGATTTCATATCCTACAACTTTACTGAAATCATTTATTAGCTCCCTAACATGAATACAGAAGAGGAAACAAAATCCACTTGTAAGACAAAAATGCAAACAAGAAAAAGAAAGAAATGATATATTACCAATCCCAAAAACCAATAAACACTGGAGCCAAACCATAAACAGAGAAGTAAGGAACAAAAGATATTTGCAACTTCCAAATGGAAATAGATAAAATGCCAGGAGAAGATGATACCTTTCATTAACAACTAGATGTAAATGGATTAAATTCCCCACTCAAAAGACACAGACTGACTGATTGGATTAAAAAGAGAAAACCACCCATATGCTGTCTTCAAGAGACTCACCTCACCTGTAAAGACACAGACAGACTAATAGTGAAGGAATGGAAAAAGATAAACCACACAAATGGAAAACAAAAAAGAGCAGGAGTAGGTATTCTTATATCAGATGAAATGTACTTTAAACCAAAAAATATAAAAAGAGACAAAAAAGCTGCTATATAATAATAAAGGGATTTATGCACCATGAAGATATAACCATCATAAATATATATGAAAGCAACACTGGAGCACCCACATATATGTAGCAAACATGATTAGATCTAAAGAAAGAGATAGACCACAAGATGATGATGTTTTTTGAGGCAGCTGTGAGGCACACGAGCACATCTGTGATGATGGATCAAATGTATATCAATTTGTTTTCCTCCAGCTGGAGATGCTTAGCCACAGCTTATATAAATCCTCTCACATGCTGCCCAGAGATCTTTTGTTAAGCCATGAGCTCCAGGCTTGTTCCTCCCCCTTTGGAGAGGATGTCCTCCAGGGCTAGCTATACTGAGGTCCTCGGTTGGTCTAAGCTCATGGAGGACAAAGAAGGCTGTGCCAGGCTGAGGCCTTGATACCACCTTTCCAAAAATAGGAAAAAACAAAACAAAACAAAACAAAAACCTTCATTCAAGACTTGTGGTTTCTGGTCTGTCATTGAAGGAGCTTAGAAATCATCACTCTCCTCCACACAGCAAGTAAAAAAGCTGAACAAACTACAAATCAATAGCTCTTCTCAGATTTTTTAGAGAAGTGACATCACAGGGCAAACCACTGCCCCCAAAATTGGAGTGACAAACAGGTGGATACAGAGAATCACAGCTTACCAGAATAGAAGCCCAGAAGAAGAAACCACTTATGGAGCCAGTGGTGGGGCCGAGAACTTAAACTGTCATTAATAAGTTGCTGGAAAATCAGTGAAAGCAAGATTAAGAGTTAAAAATTCCAAGGGGCCTCAGTCTTAAGTTGTTATTTTATTAAAATTTATTGAGGTATAATTTACATACCATAAAATTCATCTATTTAAAATGTACAATTCATTGATTTTTAGTAAATTCACCAAGTCATCCAACCATCAACACAGCCCTAGTTTTAGAACATTTCCATCACACAGTAAGATCCTGTATGCCCACATATAGTTAATCCATGTTCCCAGCCCATGCACATGCAAGCACTAATCTACTTTCTATCTCTAATGATTTGCCTTTACAGAAAATTTCACATGAAATGAATCATATCTTATGGCTTATTTATTTGATCCACGCTGTACCATGTTCCTGTAGCTCTTCCTGTTTTATTCCTGAACAGTATTCCATTGCTAGGATATAGCATATTTTGCTTATCCATTGACCAGTTGATGAACATTTGGGTTGTTATCATTTTTGCAATTATTATGACTGTGTTGCTTTGAACATCTGTGTACAAGACTTCGTGTGGACATATGTTTCTTTTCTCTTGCATAGTGGAATTGCTGGTTGCATGGTGATTTCATGTGCAAATTTTGAAGATATTTGGTTGTTTTTCTTACAAGGATACTTCAAAAAGTTCATGGAAAGATTCATTTTTTAAAGGAATTTATTTTTTAATT